TCATCGAAGATAGTGTATATGGTGCCTTATAGTATGGTAGATACGACTGAATATGTACCCATTTAGTAATTGTATATTCTGCTTTGCATTCCAGAATAAATGTTGTCCCGAAAATGTATTGTTTGGTGTATTTCGACATTTATCCTGGGGTCATTTTACACAGTCTGACATTGCGCGATGCAATTTTTTTAACCTCCCTCCGCAGATTCCATAAAGTGTATATATTCCTGATCACAATAAAACTAAATGTCGATTTAATCATACCCGTCTTCTTGATGTAACGAAATATATGCAAAATTGGTAGTTTCTGTTCCGGCCCTTTAAAGTATTCTCATCACCCGATGAAATAGTGAGCTAATATGTACCGCGAGGCGTCGGGTTAGTTGCCTACTATGAAAAAGCTAAGAAAAAGAAAACCAAACCCCCCCTAATGTTGACAACCCCCTCAAACGTATAAAGGATCACGATCTGCGAATCTGCACTTGGAATGTGCGCATGTTGTACAGATGTACTCAAGAAGTACAAAGCCGATATTATTGCATTACAGGAAATGCGATGGAAAGGGTCAGGCGTAAGTAAATCAGACGATTACGCCATGTATTATAGCTGCCATGAAACGTGAATTTGGCTGCGGTTTTATGGTTAACAGGAGAATAAAAGACCTCGTCTCCAGATTCACTCCAGTAGATGAACGAATTGTTATAATCAGTATAAAAGCGAAGATTTTCTACATTTCCGACCGAAGATAAAGATGAACAGACCAAAGACATATTTTACGAGCGCCTAGAAACAGCATATGACCGTTGCCCTGGCCATGACATTAAAATTCTGCTAGGAGATTTTAATGCAAAAATCGGAAGGGAAAATATCTTTGGCTCCACCGTAGGAAAATTCAGCCTTCATGAGGAAACATCCGACAACGGCATGAGGCTGATCGACTTCGCGGCAGCAAAAACATGGTAGTTAGCAGCACCAGATTCAAGCATCTCGATATATACAAGGCCACCTGGATCTCTCCTGATCAAGCAACGAGAAATCAAATTGATTATGTTGTAATAGACGGAAGGCAATCATCCAGTGTTTTAGACGTCCGATCGATCCGAAGAGCGAATATCGGATTCGGACCATTACCTTGTGGCAGCCAAGGTACGCACTCGACTTAATGTAGCAACAAAGGTGCGATCTAATGTAACACAGAAACTAGATGTCGAAAAGCTGCAAACACAACAGGTAGCCGAGGCCTACTCCGCTCAACTTACCCATCTGCTTGAAGGAAGCACTTATTGTCCCGATAATAGTATAGAAACACAATGGCAAAGAATTGCCCACTCCCTACAAACTGCAGCAAAAGCAACAAAAACCACCATCAAAATAACGTGGTACGATCAGGAGTGTTGTAATGCTACTGATGTGAAAAAAGCAGCGTATAGGGCAACCCTGCAGACAGTAGCCACACGTAACGTTATGGAGAATTATCGGGAGAAAAGGAGAGAGGAGAAACGTGTTTTCAGAAAAAAGAAGAAAGAACAAGAAAAACGTGAGCGTGAGCAAATCGAGATCTACAGGTGTCAGAATGAAGTCCGGAAATTTTACCAACGAGTAAAACACCAAACCGAAGGTTTTGGTGCAGGCACATCCTCTTGTAGAGATGAAGAAGGAAACCTGGTGACAGATACAGACAGCGTGTTGAGGATCTGGAAGGAGCATTTTGAAAAGCTTCTGGTATCAAATAGTGGCGTTGAAGAAGATACCCCAGAACCAATAAGAGATGATGGTATAGAGTGTATACCACCTAGCCAAGATGAGGTCATAAAAGCAATCAATCGGCCCAAAAACAACAAAGCAGCAGGAACCGATGGGTTACCAGCCGAACTATTCAGGACTGGTGGCCAGATGCTGGTCAGGAGCATGCACCAGCTGTTTAGTACAGTTTGGCTAGATGAATGCATGCCCAATGATTGGAACCTCAGCATCCTGTGTCCCATGCACAAAAAAGGAGACAAGACGATATGTGCCAACTATAGAGGAATAAGTCTCCTTCCCATCGCATATAAAATGCTATCCAGTGTGCTGTGTGAACGATTGAAGTCAATGGTCAATGACATCATTGGACCATTCCAATGCGGCTTCAGACCTGGCAAATCTACCGTTGACCAGATGTTCACGCGCCAAATCCTGGAAAAGATCCACGAAAAAACACATCGACACATACCACCTATTTGTCGACTATAAAGCCGCATTCGTTCAGAGGTGTTTAAAGCCATGTCTACGTTCGGCTATGCAGGATAACTTTAAGTGGCACAAGATCTGCAGTTAAAGTAGGAAAGGACCTATCGGAGCCCTTCAATACCGAACGAGGATTCAGACAAGGTGACAGTTTGTCATGTGATCTTTTTAACATCCTGCTGGAAAAGGTCATACGAGACGCAAAGGTCATCGCCTACGCCGATGACATCGATATAATGGGTCGAACATTGCGAGCGGTAACAGCCACCTTTGAACAAATTGAAAAGGAGTCTGTTAAAGTAGGTCTGGCAGTAAATGGCGAGAAGACCAAGCTGATGGTATCAACGCGCAAGACGTCCTGTAGACTCGGACCAACTGTGGAACTTGAGAACTTCAGCTTCGAGTTAGTTAAAGACTTTATATACCTTGGTACCGCCATAAGTAAAACGAATGACATCAGTTTTGAAATTCGGAGAAGGATTGTGATGGCCAACCGATGCTACTATGGTCTGAGCAAATAACTCAAAAGCAAGGCCATCTCCCGCCAGACCAAACTCACACTTTACAAGACGCTGATACTACCCGTGCTCTTATATGGATCAGAAGCTACCTCATCTGCTTGCGCAAGTACCGCAAGCATATGAGGGAGCTCTTGGGGTGTTTGAAAGAAATTTCACCGAAAGATCTACGGGCCGATCTGCGTCGACGGTGAATATCGGCGTCGAATGAACCACGAGCCACGATAATTTATACGCGGACATCGACATAGTCAGTCGTATTGAGCTGCAGCGACTACGGTGCCTAGGCCATCTTGTGCGGATGAATGAAGATGCCCCAGCTCAAAAGGCATATAAAAATGAGCCTACTGATGGTTCCCGTAGAAGGGGAAGGCCACGAATCAGATGAAAAGACCAAGTAGAAAACAACATCTTAGAACGTGGTCTTCCAAATTGGTGGACTTGCGCACAAGACCGACGCGCTTGGAAATCTTTTTATACCCTTCACCACACTGTGGTATAGGGTATTATGTCTTTGTGCATATGTTTTTAACAGGCAAAAGGAAACGAGATAGACACATGGTTCCTTTTGAGAATATGCATAGAATCACTTTCTAAGTCGATTTATGCACGTCCGTCCGTCTGTCTGTCTGTCCATGTTAAATTGTAAACAAAGTACAGGTCGCATTTATTATTCGAATTGGATGAAATTTGTCACAGCTCATTCATTTGACACAAGGACGAACCCTATTGAAATTGGGAATAATCGGTTCAGATTTAGATATAGCTCCCATATATATTTTCGTCCGATTTAAGGTAAATGGTGCACCAAAGTCCCTAAATAACTTTCGATTTTAACGAGATTTGGCACAGCGGACTGCATTAAGCTTAGAATGATGTGTGCTAAGTTTCGTGAAAATTGGTTCAGATTCAGATATAGCTCCCATATATATTTCCACCAAAGTCCCTAAATATCTTTCGATTTGCACGAAATTTGACACAGCGTACTGAATTAAGCCTAGAATGATGTGTCCTAAGTTTCATGAAAATCGGTTCAGATTTAGATATAGCTGCCATATATATTTTCGTCCGATTTTATGTAAATAGTGCACCAAAGTCCCTAAATATCTTTCGATTTGTACGAAATTTGGCACAGCGTACTGAATTAAGTCTAGAATGATGTATGTTAAGTTTCATGAAAAGTCATTTATATATAATACACATTTTCGTCCGATTTTATGTAAATGGTGCACCAAAGATTTGCACGAAATTTGACACAGCGTACTGAATTAAGCCTAGAATGATGTGTCCTAAGTTTCATGAAAATCGGTTCAGATTTAGATATATATATATATTTTCGTCCGATTTTATGCAAATAGTGCACCAAAGCCCCTAAATATCTTTCGATGTGCACGAAATTTGGTATAGCGTACTGAATTAAGCCTAGAATGATGTGTCCTAAGTTTCATGAAAATCGGTTCAGATTTAGTTATAGCTCCCATATACATTTTCGTCCGATTTTATGCAAATAGTGCACCAAAGTCCCTTAATATCTTTCGATTTGCACGAAATTTGACACAGCGTACTGAATTAGGTCTAGAATGATGTGTGAATTATCGGTTCAGATTTAGATATAGCTTCTATATCTGACCAAATGAAAAATTTAATATCGACTGCAGAATGACATGTTTATAGATCCAATTTCATTTTACTTGTCCTTTAGGATTCATTTGTTGAGTATACCCAAGGTGGTGAAGGGTGTCATATAGTCGGCCCCGTCCGACTTTACTACTTTCCTTACTGGTTTAAGCTCGGCTTATGGAACAACCGTTCTGTAACAAGGCAGCTAAGTAAGTATATTTAGTAACACTGGTTGTAACAGCTCGAGCACGTTTCGTGTTTTGTTTCACTGTCAGAAATCTTCAGTTTGGTCTACAATTTAACTATGAATTTGCGAATTGCGAACTGTGTTCATAAATTTCATCGTACGCTTCTTCCATTTCGAGGACGGACCTTATTTTTGGCGCAATGGCTACGTTATTAAGCAGAATTTTCGAATTTGAAGTGAAGATTGACAAGAAGCATTTAAAGAGCTATCAATACATATTTCTAGTTGTAAATCGATTTAGAATCTTATTCTGATCAAATATATATGTATATATATGTATATATTTTAAGAATTTCTCGAGATGTTGCAACTCAAATATCTTGCTACATATTGTTATATATTTAAATTTTGTTTATTTTTTGCTTTTTTACAGATTTTCGATCTTAAATTTACCAGGTGTTAACATCATATTCTTCCTTGAGGCCACACAGAGCTGGAAAATTTGTATTTCTACCAACCACACATTTTTCCGTTGCAGTAGTACAAGATGTGTAAACAGGGCTGCCAATGACATTTGTCGTGGCATAGTTACAGGCAACCAAAAATCGTTTAAACGTCTCACCCTCGACGGTGTATGTGGCGGCAGCACAACCAACGGCTATATTACGTTCACCCACCATTGCTGTAAAATGGCCAATTGGACTATAAGGGAAGCATAATAAAAAAGTATATCACATATAATTTATATTTTTTAATTGAATTGTAGAAACCTACGGTCCAGCATAATTATCCGGATAAGCATCAATATGATCCATACTGGCATTCTCCACTTCTGCGTACCAATCATCGATGGCCTCTGAAATCAATTCAGTTTTTTTCATATCTCCCACAAAGGATCTCCATGCCAAATTTTGCCCAGCATACTTGTATTTTACCGTTGTAAAACATTCGTCGTGTTCCATTTCGCATTTGCGAACATTTAACGCTGCCAATTTGGCCAATTCTTGATTCCATTTCATTGTGGCCATACGACAGGCGGGTTTAAAATTTGGAACAGCTCCACTAGCGATTTCATGACGTTTCCGATTGTGTGCCTTCAAAATGATTTGAATCAGTTTGTCGCCAATGACAACCATGGCGGCATTCTTGGGGCAGGTACTGGAGAAGTTCTTTAACAAAACATATATGTAAATATAAATTAAAATAAAAAGAATCCAATTACTTACCCCACTATGTTCACATGCAACATGTTTAATACCATCAGGACAGAATGTGGTATCGCAATAATCAGTTTGGCCGGCAGCCAAGGCCACTATGGTGGTTACAAATAAAATCAAAGTCACTTTCAACATTTTTTTCTAGTGTTCTTCTATGTTGTTTGTAAGGAACATAACAATTCTGAATGGATTTTTCAAGGTTGTAAAATGGTTTATATACGTTTGGCCCCCAATTGTTGACTTCCGCATGAAAATATTTAACAACATGTTGTCGTAAAATTTCCATAAATTTTTTATTTATGTAAACTAAATACAAATTAAAAACAACATATGTTTTTGGTAGCCTATATTTAGAACATACAAACAATTTCAGATGTTCTCCTGAAACCGTAGCTAGTTTTGTAACCATTCTTCTTTAAATAAAAAGTTATATGACGTATTTTGAAATGAAGAAAAAACAATAATATTTACTGAATTAAAAACAAGTAAAACCTGTAAGAAGGTCAAGAAGGTCCCTACAAAATTTCAAGTGAAAATCTCAAGAACTCTTGAAGATATAGCCGATTTATTGTGTCAGCATCAAGTGACGGCTTAAGGGCTTCTCAAACTTTAAACGCGTTTTTCTCTTTTGTGAATGGCGGGCAAGATAACTCAAAAACTAATAACCCAATCGATTCCAAATTTTTACACGTTTCTCTGTGAGTGTATAGCTATCGTATGAACTAGGATAAAGCCAATCGGTGAAGATCTTCCTTATTTTTTAACTTGGTTTTTGGTCAAAAATCGGCGATTTTCCAAAACTATATTTTCAAAGGTCCGCTATTTTGTCAATAATCCTAGTTCATACGAGAACCAGACATGTACTCTTTCTAACACCGTTGGAATTTTCGGATTCCGATGTTCCAGTGAGTAGCTAACATGCCCGCCATCAAAAATAAGGACTTCTCTTTAATTACAAAAAACAACAACAAAACAATAACAATTTATTTTTGTAAATTATTTTTTTCTTTTTTAAATCTTTAAATATATATGTGCAAAGTTACAAACCTAAACAAGCATTGGTATTGAAAATTGAAAATCTTGAAAAATTAAAATCGTGAATTGTGTGGGGGGGGGGGGGGGGGGGGGGGGGGGGGGTTTAGTATCGCGAAAATCGGTTCAGATATATATGGGAGCATGTATATCCGATTTAAGAAAATTGATTACCAAAGTCCCTATATATCTTTCGATTAGCACGAAGTTTGGCATAACGTACTGAATTCCGTCTATAATAATGTGTGCTAAGTTTCGTAATAATCGGTACAGATTTATATATAGCTCCCATATATAGATTCGTCCGATTTTAGGTAAATGGTTCACCAAAGTTCCTGGAAATCTTTTCATTTGCACGAATTTTGGACTAGCGTATTGATTTAAGTCTAGAATAACGTGTGCTAAGTTTCGTGGAAATCAGTTCAGATTTAGTTGTAGCTCCCATATATATTTTAGACCGATTTTATGTAAATCGGCCTAGCTGTGGATCTTTTCACGAAGCTTAGCAACATCATTCTAGACTTAACTCAGTACCCTATACAAAAATTCGTGCAAATCGAAAGATATATAGGGACTTTGGTGCAACAATTACATAAAATCGGACGAAAATATATATGGGAGCTACATCTAAATCTGAACCAATTTTTATGAAACTTAGCACACGTCATTCTAGCGTTTATTCAGTACGCTATGACAAATTTAGTGTAAATCGAATGATTTTCAGAGATTTTGGTGCACCAATTTCCAAAAATCGGATGAACATATATATGGGAGTTATATCTAAATCTGAACCGATTTTCACGAAACTTTGCACACATCGTTCTAGACATAATTCATTACGCTATGCCAAATTTCGTGCAAATCGAACAATATATACACCATTTTCAGAAAATATATATGGGATCATATATCTAAATCGACCGATTTTTCCCAATTTCAAAAATGCTCCTTGGGCCAGATAAGTGACCTATTCCAAATTTCATACAAATCGGATCATAAATGCGATGTATTGCTCACAAAAATACATGGACAGACAGAGGACGGACATGCATAAATGGAATTAAAAAGTTTTATGCATATTCTAAAAAGGCACCATGTGTTTTTTTCCTTTTCCTGTTACAAACATATACAATATATATGGTGAAGGGTATAAAGATTCAAGCTGTATTGAATGAAACATTTTAAATAAAGAATTATTATTATATCGAAATATGAACGGATTTTCACCATTGTCAATAGTAACCGTTCTTGGACCAAATAAATGAGCTGTGTCAAATTTCATATCATTTGGATCATAAATGTGACCTTTACTTTGTTTACAATTTTGTGCAATCGACTGAGAAATCAGTGTGGTGAGCAGTATAATGAACAATATTGGCCTAGCGGTGCATGTAATTTTAAGGACTTTAATGAGTTTGACCATTTTTTAACCGAATGAATCTGAACTGGTCCAGGGTTTGAGTATTTGTGGCAGCTTAATAACGATCTTGCCAGATCGTATACCATTCTCTACATTGTACACATGTTTGTAACAGGCAGAAGGAAACGAGAGAGGCACCTGGTTCCTGTTGACAATATCCATAGAATCACTTTCTGAGTCGATTTATGCATGTCCGTCCGCCAGTCCATGTTAAATTGTAAACAAAGTGCAGATCGCATTTATGATCCGAATTGATTGAAATTTGGCACAGGTCCCTAATTTGGCCCAAGGACGAACCCTTGAAAATGGAGAATATCGGTTTAAATTTAGATATAGCCCTCCGTATATAATTTCGTCTGATTTGATGTAAATGCTACAACAAACTGCCAATGTTGATACGATTTAGATGAAACATTACACAGCGTACTTAAATTAGTATATAGATTTATATTTCATATATACCGATTTTAGGTAAATAAGCCGAGTCTGGAATGATATATAGATATGCTGTCCGATTTAAAGTAAAAATTTCACCAATAAGCCTATATTTGGTCCATTTTCACGAAATTGTGCAAAGCGCGTTCAATTAAGTGTAGAATTTTGTGTATTAAGTTTTCCTGAAATCGTTTCAGATTTATATACAGCTCCCAAATTTATTTTCGTCACATTTTTAGTAAATGATGCAGCAAAGTGCCAAAATATGGCCGATTGGCAAAACAGCTGTGGCCAGTTTTGTGGAAATCGGTTTATATTTAGATATAGCTTCCATATATATTTTCGACCGATTTTAAGTAATTGATGCACCAAAGACCCAAAATATGTCCACAACATTTTTCAAAACGTACAGATGTTAGTATAGGCCCAGGTGTATCAACTTTGAAATCGGTTCATATTATATATATATATTATATATATATATTTTGTGTTGGCTTCCTACTCAGGATTCTCGTCTTGGTTTTATATTAGTTTTCAGATTCGAAATATCTGTTAAAGTCTTCTTCTGTCTCTTCATCGAAAGTTGGACTCAGATCTATATTTGCCTGTTGGCCACTTGATGTTGGTCCATATTTTAACATAGGTCTCGTATAAAGTCCTGCCTCATTTTCAATGTTCTATATAGGATCATATTAGAGATGTAGCCCCGTAAAAGGATAGAGAATAATTTCCGGTATTTTTAATTTTTAGTGCCATTTTTCACCGAATTGGTACATTTTTGGCATTTTGTTCCTTTGGGGAGTGAAAAACTTATTATACTCTACACAACTATCTTGTCAGGGTATTATAGCTTTGTGCAGCTCCAAGAATTTGTAACACGGGTAAATATTGGTCATAGACCGATTGTCATATCTCGACTAGCTGAATCGATCTAGACATGTCTGTCCATTATATTTTGTAAACACGATACAGGCCACAGTTACGGGCCAATCATGATGAAAATTTGCATGCAGGATTCTGAACAAAAAGACCCCTATTTGCCAAAAGGCAACCTATTCCTATTAAAAATTTACCATGATGCCCACATCAAATTTGGTAATTAATCTTCTTAGGACATGAACAACCCACTAGCAAACAATTTACCATGACAAATTTCCAAACTTATCCACGTTTTCACTGGTTAATTATACCCTACACAACTATGTTGTCAGGGTATTATAGCTTTGTGCAGCCACAAGAGTTTGTAACGCCGCGAAATATTGGTCCTAGACCCACTTTTAAGTATACCGATCGTCATATCTCGACTAGCTGAGTCGATCTAGACATGTCTGTCCATTATATTTTGTAAACACGATACAGGCCACAGTTATGGACCAATCTTCACGAAATTTTGCATGTAGGATGGGTTCTGCACAATGAAGACCCTTATTTTTTTTTGGTAAAGATCGGTTAACATTTAGGGGATGAAATGGACCAAATACTTATTTTTTATCGTTTTTTCTGGTCGTTCTAGAGGCCGCAATTATGACCCAAGCATCGCGAATTTTATACATAGAGAAGGGGATTGGGCCAAAGAATAAGCATGCCTGTTTTGATAAGGATCGGTCAATATTTAGCGGGTCAACTGGACCCTGACTTTTGTGTGAAAAATTACAAAATTTGTATTCTATGGCGTATAGGTACACACCTGAAGGACATGGACCCAAAAAGTTGTTGGTATATCCAAGGGCAGTGGTTGGCCTTTAAATTGATACCAATTATATGGTCGTATGTACTCAGATGTGGGAGTTACACTTAAACATTTACAGTTGCTTATGTATTCAGATATTATTTAGTAACCCTCTACCACACTAGAGGGCGGAAATGATCGATTTAAAATGTTCCATGAAGTTCCAGTTATGGTCAAGGATAACGCCTATAATTTTCGGTGACGATCAGATAATTATATTGTGATGAAGTGGACCGAAAACTTAATTTTTGTGTTTTTTCGAGTCGATCTATAGGCTCCAATGGGAATAAGAAGATCACAACACAAGGGATGGGAATCTGGACAAGTAATTAGAAGGGCTGTACTGAACATTAATAATAATTGTCGGCGTCTAATTGGTCCAGATGGTTCAAATATCGCGAAATATTGCCCAAGCTCCGAATATAAATCCACAGAAAGTTAGTTTCTTCTCCGGCTCACTGCTCACTGATTGATCTATACTATTCTCACCGGCTTCATTGTTACAGGGTATTCAGCATTAATAATTTGTTGACAAACAAAACCTTTTCGGAGTGACGCACGATTTCCGGTTGTATTGATCATTTAATATTTTCCGTTTGTAAATAATTTCATTTTGTATAAAACGGTTATTCGACTCAATCAAAACTATATTTATTTGTATTTATGTTTTTACAGAAATTAATCAGTGTCTGTAATTAAAACCATGTATTAACTTTATATCCTTCCGCTATAGAACATAAATTGGGATATTGAGGATTTTTGCCGGTGACACAGCCACTTGCCGCCAAACTACAATTAGCATAAATGGGGAAATCAATCATATTGGTGGTGGCATAATTACAAGCAATTAAAAATATTTTAAAAGAAACTCCCACTTTGGAATATTGTGCTGCTGCACAGCCAACACGAACATTGCGATCTGCCATCATTACCGTGAAGTGGCCAACAGTTCTGCAAACAAATTAGAATTAGAAAATTAAAATACAAACTAATTTTTCTCCACATTAATATTTTTGCTTACTTTCCATTGTAATTTGCGGGATATTTCTGTATAAAATCCATATTACTATATTTCACTTCATCGTACCATACATTCATGGCCTTTTCGAACATTCTGGTTACATTTGCTTTGCCATAATAGCCAATAGTTATTAGATTTTGTCCCGAATATAAAAATGTATTTGTATTACGACATTTATCATGTTGCATCGTGCATTTGCGAACATTGAGTTCAGCCATTGAGGCTAGTTCGGTATTCCATTGCATTGTTGCCATACGACATGCTGACAGGTGGTTGGCATCACCTCCGCCCGCAATGAAATTTCTTTTTTCATTGTGTCCACTAACAATTACGTCCTGTATTGTGGGTGTTATTACGGAAATGGTAGCATCTGCTGGACAGTTAGTGGAAAATGTCTGTAAGAAGTTTTGATAATTACAAATTTGAATACGGTTTATTTTTTGTTTTATGTACCCCATTATTATTACACGCAATGTGCGTAAGGCCTTTTCGACACAACCGAGGAGAGCAATAGTCTACCGCTGTAGCAATGCCAATAAAAGCTGTTAAAATTAGCAGCTTTGTTAGTAATTTCATTACAAAATTTTTAGTGCTAATTGTTCAGAATTTTTAAATAAGTTCTTAATTAATTACCACAAAGTACGATTAACTCAATTTAGGCCAAAAACGTTCTGATAGCAACTGAGTATTTTTAGATACAAACATTTGTTACTCATTGGTGGGTAGTAAGTATTCAACTTATCAGATAACTGTAGACAACGATGAAAAACGTGTTGTCTTATGTGGCGTATGTGCTATATGACGGAGATAAATCAGTATATAGAATTTGCGTTAAGACGGACGAAAATATACATATGCTTTTTATTATTTATTTTGGTCTGATTTGGAATAGAACTCAATTCACGTCTTCAAATACTCAATATGGTATGTTTTGCCAAATTTCGTAGTGGAGTAGTAAAGTCGGACGGGGTCGACCATATAATACCTTACACAACTACCACTGAATTATAGGTTCTTATTGATCAATATTCCGATTAAGGGCAATATTTCGTTATATTATTGATTAGAGGTCAACAGCTCCTCGGCGACAACTTCTCCGACTCATGTTTCCCTTAGTAAAAATACTCCATAAGATCCAAATTTTGTTATTTTACACAAAAAAGTTTTGGTTTATTGACCCGCTAAATATTGGTTAGATCGCCTTCTCCATGGGAAATTTGTGATGTTCGGCTAGCCAGAACAAAGTCCATTTAATCATCGAAATATCTTCTGATCATCATCGAAAATTATAGGCGTCGTCCTAAACCATAACCGGAACCTGATGAAAAATTTCCTAACTTGAAATGTAATTGTAATACTAAACAATTTCAGAACACAAAGCTTTAAATATTTACATATAACTCATCCATTGTAGTACATATGTACATCAACATAATTGGTATCAATTTAAAGGTCAACCATTCCCCTTGGTTATACTATCAACATATGGGGTTTATGTCCTTCAGGGGTAAATATATATATATATATAGAATACCAATTGTGTCATTTGTCACACAGAAATCTAGGTTCATTTTACCACCTAAATATTGACCGATCTTCATCAGACATTCATGCTTCTTCCATGGTCCGACCCCTTCCTTATTTAAAATTTCGTGATGTTCAGGTCATTGTTGCAGACAAAAATAAAGTTTTTCATTTCATCCCCTAAATATTATCCGATCATTACCAAAAATAACAAGTGAAAAATAGTTAAGTTCGGCCGGGCCGAACTTTGGATACCCGGGCCGAACTTTGGATATACTGATATGTAATAGAAATGAAAATATAGGGAACATACCAAAAAATGGATGTATACCGACATTTCGAAAACGGATTATGTAATCTATAATGTAAACCTTAATACAAATTTCAGAAATGTTTAATGGATAATTATACCCTCAGCCTTATGGCGAATGAAAATGTGCCTCATCGAAATATTGGTTCTAGACCCCATGTTTCTTTGGATCAAATCCAAACTTTGCCCATCTTATTATTTCTTCCAAACCTAGTTCAAATTCGAAGATGGGGAATATCGGTCCACTCCTTCTGAAACCTCCACACAGGGGCTAGGTTAAAATGCGGCTATAGTTCATTATCGAACCTTACGTTCTAATACCTCCAGGTCTTCCTTGCTAACCTCAGAAGGTGAAATGATTACTACAGAGACTTAGAACCAAACTCAAAACTCGGAACAAATCAAATAACTATTTTAATATAAAAACGGGGTTATATGGGGTCTACCCCAAAAAGGGGCGAATATTAATAATTTTTGGTAAGGAGTAGTCGTATATGGTAACAAAATACGACTACAAAATACCAAATTGCAGCAAATTCGGTTGAAAAACGCGCTCAAAAACCACAAAATTCCAAAAATTGAGGGTACCTTTATTGGGGGCTATCCGAAAAAATGTTTCTATATTCCTAATTTTTTGTGGAGAGATTTGGGACCTATTAAGAACTCAAAATACTAAATTAGAGCTAATTCGGCGATCAAAACCCCCAAAATACTGCCAAGCAGGATGTACCGTTATATGGGGGCTACCAGAAAAAGTGGACCTATATTTATAATTTTTTGTGGATACATTAAGTATCCTATAAGAACCCAATGTTGTAAATTTCAGCGAATTCGGTTGAAAAACGCGCTCAAGAACCCCAAAATACCGAAAATTTGGGGGTACCCTTATATGGGAGCTATGCCTAAACGTGGACCGATAAAGCCCATCATCGAACTTGACCTATATCGTCATAGAAGTTTACGCTGATCAAGAATATATATACTTTATAGGGTCGGAAATGATTATTTCGATGAGTTACAAACGGTAAAACAAAATTAATATACCCTCCATACTATGGTGGAGGGTATAAAAAATAGGGACCTTCTTTGATCCAAAAAGAACCTACATGCTAAATTTCGTGACGATTGGTTCATAACTGTGGTCTGTATATACAATTAGATATAGCTCTCATTCGTCTGATTTTACGTAAATGGAGCACCAAACTCCCAAGGTTTGTCCGATTGCGACAATATTTTGCACAACATACTGAATTATTTACAAATTGAAGCCTTTATTTTTATTATTTTTTTTTAATCGTTTTAGATGTAGATAAAGTTCCTATATATATTGTCGTCGGTTTTTATGCAAATGGTGTGCCAAACTCCCAAGGCTTGTCCGACTGCGAAGAAATATGTTCATATGTCCATATATGTTTGTCCGATTTTAGGTAAATTGTGCACCAAACTCCTAATGTTTGTCAGATTGACACGAATATTAAGCCTAGAATACCGTTTTTGTGTTTTGTAAAAATTGGTGCAGTTGCAGACATAGCTTCTATATATGTATATATTCGACTGACTTTATGATAATTGTGCACGAAATAATAAACAGGTGTCTGATTGAGCCAAATGGGATCTAACAAAAACAAACCTTTTTTTACAGTCTGCCTGCAGTATCGATTGTATGAATGGAAGATGTGTCCGGGGACATGTCACATGAATTGCAGTACACTTTCACGCAAGGCATTAGTGTTCTGTAGCACAATGACAGTTTTTTTTGGCTACCTTCATCACTTATTTTTATAAATCTATATATATAAAACAGAAAAAAAATTGTTTGTTTGTGTGTATGTTCCCGATAGACGCAAAAACCGCAGAACAGATGTTAATGAGATTTACACAGAATGTCATGACATGCCCTGAAAGTAACATAGGCTAGATAAACTTCAAAAATTCCGCGTGGTTGCAGAGTTATAGCATCAATAGTAAACATACCTCAAAATTCCGGAACATGTAATATGCGTATATCTTAAGAACGGCTAGAGATACCGTCTTTTAAATTTGTCAGAATAACGTTGATGTAAATACACATCATCCATACAAAAATGAGCGCGACACATTAGGGGGAAATGCAATAAAAAAGAGAATAAAAAAGTTTTCTTTGAAAAGTCAAAAACCGCTGAATAGATTTTACTGTGATTTTTACAGTACCTGATGCTACCCAATAGAAAGAATACTGGCTAGATAAAATCCTAAAATTCCGCGTGGATGTCGAGTTATACCATCAAAAGTATTCTCAACTCTGAAATAATATAGACATTATATACTTATATCTTAAGAAGGATTACAGATTCCCACTTCAAAATTTGCCTGAGTAAATTGGTTACAAATACGCATTGTCCCTATAAAAATTGGCGTGAAACAATGGGGAATTTAATTTCTCTATACATAGAAAAAAATAATGCTTTTGGTTGTAGACACAAAAATCGCTGAATTGACTTGGCAGAAATTTTGGCAGTCAGTCATAAAAATCCAATCTTAAATTACCAGGAAGTAAAAATTGGTCCAAATCAGAAATTTTCGACTCATAATTTTTTTCCATATTATGTTATTATCAGTAATGATTAAAAACCACCAGTTCAGTAATTCCGCGAACGTCTGTTGTTATCTCTCCATTATCTTCACATCTATATATATAAAAATGAATTGCTGTTCGTTAGTCTCGCTAAAACTCGAGAACGGCTGAACGGATTTTTCTTATCTTAGTCTTAAAATATTCGTAGAGCTTCAGGGAAGGTTTAAAAGGTGAGAAAAATTTAAAAATCGCGAAAAATTTGCAAAAGAGAAAAAATATTATGAAAAACAATGTTATGAAAAAATAAATATTCATTTGTCAAATATTGAAAATTTTCAAAATATTTTATTTTATTCAATTGGCATTGTAACGAAACTTTTTTTCTGAGAATGCAAAACAATAATTGAGATGAATTCGCGATCATTGTATGTACACGTTTTCCATAAAATTCACGTACATTTTGGAACAAATGCAAGGATGAAAATCTGAAGATTCAGAAAGAGTTCTGATTCTAAGACACGTGCCCTAGATTATTCTTCTTGAAAATAATAATAATAAGAACACAGTATCGAAAAAGGTGGATTACTATTACATGGGGGATATTTGAAACCTTGGGCGAACATAACATGGCAGCCAAATACCGAATATTAAGGGATGCCGTTAGATTCGGATATCCGAATACTTGAGTCAATATGGAAAATTCTAATTAGGGAGAATTTCTGCCCAATAAGTATCCCTAATATTAGGTTTGGGAAAAAGAAATCCATTAGACCGGTGGAACGATCGAATTTTACAGGCATGTTAGCAGTCGTAACATCGTCCAGGAGCTAAAAATTAAACCATTCACACAAAGCTGGATTCAAAAATAAGCTCAATGGTTGGGTGCCTCACCAATACCAATACCGCAATTTCAGAGCACTATCTTAAAGATTATTTAATATTGGGCTATCGTTATGTGAATTATACATCAGCAATATTGCTATGCAAGACAACGTTTGCCGGGCCGGCAATGTTAAATGTTGAAGTGTTCGTGGATGTTCAGGGAAGGTTTAAAAGGTGAGAAAAATTTGAAAATCGCGAAAAATTTGCAAAAAATATTTTAAAGCATATTTGCATTTCCGCGAATTTAGTATCGAGCTATATGGAAAGCACCACGTCGTAGTTCTTATTTTGAGGTATTTTGAGCGA